AAAAAAAAAAAAAAAAAAAAAAAACCTACATATTACAAGTAATGTGAGATAAGACCGAAGGGAAGAAGGTTTTAACCCTTGCGTTGAGCGTCTTCCCAAGCACATGTGGTTGCTTCAAGTATTTTGCTTCAATATTATGCATGCAAGATGTAAGCTCCCCACCCGTGGGTACTATGGATTGAGAATCATTGCCGACTGTTGGGGGGGGTGGTTGTCTGCGGCTCCCCGATTTACACAGTAGTTACTCCATACTAGATAGATAGTTAATTAGGAGGGAAAACTTTGTGTGTACGATTAGCTAATATGTACTACACGTAACTAGTTAGCTGCTGGAATTCTTGTTGAAACTAAGTTCTCAGATAACTCACTAGTGGCATGTTTGTTTCGTCTCGTCAAGATCTGGATACATCTATCAGATGTGTAACATCTTCTTTGGAACTGCTTGCTTACAAGTAAGAAGATAGTTACCGACCTACTCCCTGTATGCATGCAGCTTTCGCTCGGGCTGGGTTCGACATATGCCAGGTGGTCTCGGTCGTTTGGGCGTCTTCCGCCTTGGATTGCGCGCTTGATTGTAAGCATGCCCGATCCTTTTGGATCACAAGGTTAGACTAGCCAGCCTAGCTAACTGGGTATGAATGCACGGACACCGCCAGATCTTACTTGACTCAGTCCCCATTTAATGATGATGATGATGGAGAAGGGGTCTCACCGCTACATTTGCTGTTTCGGACTGTTGGGCTAGATGGCAGCTTATCGCGGCTATCTAATACTACTTGGCGCTGATGAAGTGTTCACACGATACAGGAAGCCCGCAAAGCGGGGATAGATTGATGAGTATACGTTGCTTTTCTCCTTGTCCACTCCAAGATATGTACAAGCGGAGGGAAGGATCCAATATAGTTAATAAATCAAATGTCAAACAGTAAACACGAACAAAAAAAAGGGAAACGCCTAGACTTTCCCGCGCCAGTCGAACTCTGATATAGTACTATATAAAATGAAGCACAAACAATCATCCAGGTTACCAAATGGGTATTTGTAAAGCAGTGGAAACGAATGAATAGAAGAACCAAGACCAAGTTGGCGCCGTAAAGGAGATATCCGCCCGCTAGACTTCAAAGTGGAAACCCCGGCACCGAAGCAGAAGACTAATCGGAAAAGAAACATTTCGAAAGGGAATGGTGGCATATCATGCAGGTGGAAGGATGCTGCCAAATAGTGACGCACAAGTGAATGAGAAAGCTGGAAAAAGCCATTGCATCAACGAAAGATAGTTGGTGAAGCGGCCTTGTAAAGATCTGGATGTTTAGCATGCCTCGTCAGCCTCTTCCGCTGACTTTCAATACTTCGGCTCCTAGTTCTTCCTCTGAACTGTCCAGATACCGGTCTCCCTGTATCCAAGCCTTTCACGCTCTCTGGGATTGGCACGTGAAGTGCATCAATATTTGGCATTGGTAGCCACGCAGTGCTCATCGTGCTGCTGCTACCCGGCACGTCGTGCTCCGTCACTGTAGTCATGGGCTGTTTCCAGCTTTTCTCCGATGAAGCTAAGAATGCTCCGACATGCTCCCATTGGGGGTATTGATGAGGTATAGCATCTGCAGAGGCAACTGACAGGCCAGGAGAGGCATTATCGAGGCTCCTCAATTGGTGGCAATATTGAGAGTAGGGCATTGTATGCCGATATTCCGGAGGAGTCGCGAATGAACCGCTCCTTAGGCGCGGTTTGGGGGGCATCGGTCGGAGGTCATGACACATTGACCATCTGTGGGACGGCCAGCCATAGCTGTCAACTCTGGGCCTTGCCCATGGACCCTGAAGGCTTGAATGACGGTGTACCGAGGGCTCGTAGCCAAGTTCTGGGCTGTTCCTGGCATCCAAAAGCCCGCGGTCCCTTGAATTACCATTGAATGTGAATCTGCGGGCCACTGCAGGTTGGTGTGTGGATGTGCGAGAATCAGTCGATCGTCTAGTGGAACGAACGGAGGCTGCGGAACTATATCCACTGTCAACCGTTCCATGAGCACCTTGGAGTTCTTGATGCCCGTGGTCTCGGAAGGAACGTTCAAGCTGGCGGACAAACCATTTCTCCTCATCAGCGACAGAGATACCTTCATCTTCTGTTTCACTACCACGAAGTTTGTACGGTGTTGAGATTGCTGGAGATCTCTCGAAAGAAAATGGACTTGCAGGGTGATCGTCAGGCTTTCCCACTTCAGTAGGTGGAATCTGTAACTTTGGAACACGGGCAGTATCATTACATGGAACCGGAGCATAGTCTTGGATGTTTGAGATATCAAAGCTGGTTAGATCAACTTTTTCAAGTGCGCTGTCCCGGACGATCTCAGCTTTCCGGGATTGCTCAATTGCACTCTCAGAGGCATAGTCCTGGATGTTCGATAGATCAAAGCTGGTTAGATCCACTTCATGTCCGCTGTCTTGCACAATCTCAGCATTGTGGGATTGCTCGTCTGCACTTTCAGAAGCTAACTGCGGCTTCTGATCCATATGGTATGGCACCTTGTGGGTATACTGCTGGGGCTCTCCCGGCTTCGTATCAAGCGTGTGAATGCCAGTAGGTTCAGGATTCGGGCTGTTGGGACGGTTCAATCGAGTCCTGTCACTGGGGCATGGAGATGCAGAACCATTTACCACACGCAATGATCCCAACTTGAGAGCCCCTAAATGAGTATATTCGAACTCATTGGGTGTTGCTGGACGGAACTGGGTAACCGGACTAGGTGATCCAGCAGCATCTTCGTAACCGGATGGTAACGGCCTTGGAAATGCAGATGTCTCGTTCAAATAGTTGAGTGACATCGTGGGTTCCCGTACAACTGGTGATGATAATCTTCGGGCTGTATCTCTTGCTGGCCTTCTTGTTGCGATCCCGGGCCGTGTTAGCAGCGATCGTCGACGGATGAGAGAAAATCCTTGGCTGTCTACCCTGAATAGTGTATTAGAAGACGTTGCCTCTTCGATTGTACTATGATGCATAGTACTTTGCGCCCTCTGAGGTGTGGTGTGCGCAGAATACGCCCGTCTTGGTCGCGGTGGCCGTGCCATCAATGGTTGTGCTCGACTTGGGAGGGTTGTTGCCTGAAAGCTATTGTGTCTGGAAGAACGGCGAGAGACTTGACCGCTCATAACGGGATCTGGCATAGGAACGGTAGGAACGGGCGAGTACAGACTAAAATCATCTGGCTCTTTGACCATAGACTGGCATTTCCGGGCCCTGCTGAGAGTGGGCCATGGCTCCCCAGGTCGATAGGAGGCAGATGGAAGAGACTGCGACCTCCTTGTGCATACATCAGGCTCGGGGGCCTTGAGGGAGATGGAAGTTCCGGTCCAAGGGTCTTGCCAAGCAGTACAAGCAGGGCATTCTATAGGAGAGCTGGTGCCGGAAGTTTGACGAGATGCGCGGAAGCTGTTTGAAGCTAGCGTTGCCCTATTCGGAGGCGGTTTTGAAAGCCGATTGGTGCGGCGACGCTTTTCTTTGCTCTGTACTGAAAGGTAGCCTCCCATGGCTTCCTTCTTGAGTGAAAACCGGAGTGAAGGTTTCAGAAGAACCTGATCCTCTCACCTAAAGGTGCGAGGCCGACATGGGCAGGCCGCAACGTCAAACAATTCAACAAATGGCGTCCAGTGGCTGATAAACAAGTTCACTTCAGGGTTTAATCCGGTAATGCCATAACAGTGGTCAATCCCGCAGAAGAAACTTGGGTACCAACGAGGCTGGAAGCACCAGGCTCCTGCCTTTGAGGTAAATAGGCCGAGGGAAGGTTTCAAAAACTTTCGACGACGTCAACCCCGGGTTGATTTGAAAGACTTAGTAGAACACGCAGAGGAAACAAGAGGAAGTTGTTGGACGGGACTGGTTCGAGCTTTCGCCCGAAGCGCTGGACTTGCGACGCCTCAAGCTGGTAAAGAACCAGAAGAGCGTATTTAGAAAATGGGGCAAAAAAGCAAAGACGGCCGACTATATAGGTAGCGAGAGGGAAGCGCTACCCAAAACGAAAAGACAGGACAATGAACTGTTGTAATAAAAAGGAAATACAGCACGGGCGGAATCAGCCACGTCCAACTAGTGGGTTTCCTCCCTCCTGATTTGTTTTATACGGCAGATAGGCAGACAAAATGGAGATGTCAGGAGAAGAGGTACTGAAAGAGTAGTAGTGGAGGGTGGAAGACGACGAAACCAGGAGTGGTGGAGGATGTATTATGCAATAGTAGAACAAAGGAGGTACAAGAAGGGGAAAAAAAGAATATTATCAGATTACCGCAATCCCTGGTCGGCCAGATAAAGATGGGAACAAAAAGGAATAAAATAAAAAGAAGATAATAAAAAAGAAAAGAGATTTAAAACCAAATCAAGAATAAAAATCAAAAACACGGGGTTGAATGGGATGAAGCGGATGGAAAAGAAAGATAGATTAAGAATCGTAGCTGGGGTAAGTAAGGGAAATCAGATACATAAGTGGAGTGGAGATGGACTGGGCTGCCATGGTTGAGGATGCACGAAAGACACCAGAGTGACGAATGCGTTTATCCACAGGCAACTGTAGCTCTCACGGACAACGGAATGGGGAACGAGATAATGGATCGGCAGGTTGCAGACGGTCGGAAAAGGGAACCAGCTTCTGACAAGATCATTGTGTAAGAGCGAGAGACCGTGTGTGTGGATGTGGATGTGGATGTAGATGTGGATAAGGGTGTCAGAGTAAATGGAGCTAAGAAAGAGCAAACACACCCGGACATTATTCACCAGCCAGCCAAGGTACCATCCAATTTTTCTTTACCCTCTTCGACAATAGGAATTGGAGAAGGATGTGTGGATGGAGCCATGGGAATGGACGGTCAAGTCAGCCTTGGACTGGCGTGGCCATTTCAGAACTCAGACTTTCGGACACAACGCCATCCCTGAAAGCGGACAAGTCAAAGCAAGAATTGCACCGGCGATGCCCGCTAGAAGCACCCAAGAAAAAAAATTAATTAATTAACAAAATTAAAATAATAACCATACCTAATACTAAAAAGAAGGCAAGAAAGGGAAACGAATGAATGCATGAGGAGGGAGGGGTATCAAGGGTATCATTCTATTCCGTAGTAACTAAAATCAGTAATTTTGTTTACTACTGTAGATTGTTAATTCAGTTGTCTACTTTCGTTGAGCTATTATTTCATTCCGTACGTAGGTCGATTGATTATTCTTTTCCTCATGATTATCATTCACGGATTATGATCATACCATGCATCGTCGGATGTTTGTCTGATGTGTCTGCAGTTATCTAGTTAGTTATTAGCTATTTAGCAGCTAGTTTAGCTGTACATCTATCTACTTACTTAGTATCTCATCGCTATCCTTTAGGGGGACTGGCAGAAGCTCACCCTACCAGTTATGGATTAAACAATTTTTCTTAGTTCGACCCTCATTAGGATCGCATTTGGATCGCCAGGACCATCGTCTGTTTTAGCTCCAGCCGTGGATCCCTCCAGGGGTGGAAAGCTTGATGACGATGGAGCCTTGATTGGTGCTGGGCTGGCCGCAAGCAGAACTAGGCGACTAGTTCTTCCTTCCGGACCTTGGTCAGTGAAAGTAGTCAGGATGTTACGGAGGAGAATGCTGTTCCCGCCTCTCCGAGTTATGGATCCTTGGTTCTTGACCACCACCTCCTCCTCCTCCTCCTCCTCCTCCTCCTCCTCCTCCACCACCTACGGGATAGAAGAAGCTGAAAGAATCGATCGCATCCCGTCTTTGGTTAATAATATCTAATGTATTCTACTCCGTACGTCCCGATGCTATCCTTGAGTACTCCGTACTTCCCATTCAATCGCACAAGTAACCTACTCCGGACATGTGTACTTTTTTGACTTTGGACTACTTGAGCATTTTACTATACTACTATACTACTACCATTAGCCACCGCCACCACTACCACCATAGCCTCCTATTGAACAACTGGATCGTAAGTTAGTCTGCACGCAGTACTTCGGTACTACTGCTGTTGTTAACTGACTAGTTAGTTAATTTACTAGTCAAGTTAGTTGTTCGGCTCTAGTTTAGTCATGTCGGTATTTTAGCGTCGTTTAGATTGTTCTGCCTAGTTTCCACCGCTTCCCCGCCCCGCCCTCCGTCTGTCAATCCGTGTTCATTCAGTCAGTCTCATGAAGTAAGAGTAAGAGTACGTATACTACAGTAGTAGTAAAGGGAGATGGCTGGGGGAAGTAAGAGTAGTATCATGATTATGCGGTTCTAGTAGGACCTGTCTGTCAGCATCGACAGCACCGACATCAGCTCCAACACCCCCCCGCACTGTCCATCTTCCGGATTGATCTCTCTTCTCAAACATTCAAATTTACCCTTTCCATTATCGGTGTATCATAGATGGGTCAAAGATTCAGAGATAGAAACCCCTTCGAGTCAGGTCATCTCCGATTGAGTCCTTCTTGGTTCCATGGTTCCATCTTTTACTGCTTTGGAAACCTTTCCCGTTCCGGCGCTCGGCTCGCTCCCTCCTGGTCGGGTCATCCGAAAGCTCCAGCTAGACACTACTTACTCGTTAGATGTCCCGCCCGCAGTTGCGACGTAAAAAAAAAATCAGAAAAGAAAGAAAGGAAAAGAAAAAAAAAAAATTACTGCAAGCAACAGGAGAGGGTCTCCAACCCGAGAACGGACTGGTTAGTCAACCCACATCCCTCACGAACTGGATCGCTGTCCTCTGGGGCGTACAGAACCAGTGTTTCTGCAACGCAGACGCTTCTGCAGCGCTTGTCTGTCGGTCAGTGGTCGGATTACACCGCGTCTTTACCAGTCGTATGGCGTCTTCTCTTTCCAGTCGACCGACCTTATCGGGGTTTCCTTTGCTCACTGCCGAGGAATTTGAAACTGCCTGTCACGCCTTTCTAGATCGGATTCACGTGGTGGATGATACCAAGGTGGGATGGTCCTCCATCCGTCTCGATCAGCGGGTAAGTTAGTTGCCTCGCTTCATGTCGTTCGACTTTGTTCCACCCTCCTTCTCTTGTTGCCTGTCGCTTGCGGGAAAGTATGCTTGAAATATGCGCGACAGAGATTCGAACATTGGTTAGGAAGATGGACCTGAACTATACACTTCCTTTCTCCTCCCCTTTCTTTCTTTTTTACCTCTTTTCTTCACCCCTCCCCCCTACTACTCCCCACTTTCAGCTAAATTCATTAGGCAACCGGGCCCATCTTGAGTATTGCAAGGGATATCGGTCATGTGGGTACTCGTGATCGCGACGAGCCCCTCCCGGACCCAGAGATGATCGAAGAACTACAGTGGGAGGCCTCGGAAGAAGATCCCGTCCGTCGAACTGGAACCCCTTTCCATTGCGCTCTCTCCATTCTACGAGCATCGTCTAACATCAAACAGGAAGCTCTCATTCGTGCGCCCGAGACGAGGGTCCGTTTACAGGTAACCTATTATATTCTGCTTTCTCCCACGTACCACGTCCCTGTCTTGTATTTCCAGTTACGGCAAGACAACCATCCGGGGCCGCTGGGAATTGACGCGGTCTACCAACACCTGGTACCGGAACAATACAGAAAGGAACTCCAGAGCATTGGCATCATGGGTGGTATTAGTTTTGGCGTATGTGCAAGATCTCGAATCCCTAGCCCAAGCTGGAGCTTATGCTTCGTAGTATCATCCAGACTCCGGAACTCCAGCGTTTTTCGTTCATCCATGCCAAACAACGGATGCGATGAGGCACATTGCAGGACAGCTCTGTCTCACTCCCGAGACTTATCTCATGATTTGGCTCGGGTTGGTGGGTAACCGTCTCGGTCTTCAGTTGCCAAAGGAACTCTTCACAGTCGAAGGCATGAAGACATTCCAAGGCACTGCGTCACACAGTTTAGATTGATCCAGAGTACTTCCTCCCCTCTCAGGTTGGATCCCCCTGGCCTGGCCAACGTATTCCCGGTACATAAGCGAAGCAATTAATCTTCATCCGACGAAGCTTCCATTGGCACATCACTGTCCTCGTCCATAGGGGCTTCCTCTTCGTCGCTCTCCTCCTCACGAGGCCGTTTGACACCTTGGCCTGCTTGAGCTTCTCCATTGACTTCTCCGCTGGGCTTCGACGGCAAAGCCGCCGATCCTGGGGGCCCGCTAAATATCGATTTCTGGAGCTCTGTGAATGCTCCCGTGGTTTGACCGGCAGATGTTGTAGTAGGCACATTATACGTTCCGCGCAGCCGGGCAATGACGTCCGAGGGACCCTTAGCATACACAATTTTCTATATTCCCGAGTCAATGAGCGAGGAACAACCGCACTGCGCTAGCAAGAACATACCATTTGTTTGCCGAAAAACTCAAACCCCTGGAGGGCCCGCATAGCCTGTGTGCTAGCCTGGACATCTTTAAAAACAATATGGGCCTGACCGCGCATCTTTTGGGTCTTCATGGCAACAACATCGAGAACGGTGCCGTAGGTTGAAAAAAGCATATAGAGGGATAACCGTAGGTCATGCTTGCGCAGCTTGTCTGGGAGATTGGTACAATACAAACTGCAAAATGGGATCAGTCAGGGTGCCCGCATTAGATTTAGAAAGTAGTATCCAAGACTTACGTTTGGTTAGGCAGTCCGGTGGCTGAAGCGGGTTTACCTTGACCACCACCGCGCGTTGGAATCACCCTGGTTGCCATCACTGCAGAGCGACAAAGAAAACCCGAGGGGAAAATAGAGCAGCTTCCCAGCAATACCTCGAGCAAAAGACCGAAAAGAACACCCCGTCCAGGGAAGGAAGCCAATGGAAAGTGAAACCCGAAGATAGCACAGCTTGTGATGCGAATGAAGTTGAACCTGGATTGAGCGCGAAAGGTCATGTGACATATTATCTAATCATGGCCAAATCCGCCCGCGTCATCGTTCGGGGCCTAGCTTGGCTGTGGTATACTGCCCACCATTCCCCCTCCCCCTTTCCGGTTGGTAACCATCATACTTTACCTCAATTCTACTCTTTCATTCACACGGCAGTAGAGAGCTCCTCCTGTCGTCTACTCGCCATGGCCGCTCCCGAAGCTCACCACCTCTTCCATAACCCAATTGCCGATCATTCTTTCTCTCCGGATAAGGCGACCCTTGCAGTTGCGCGGGAAAGCAATGTGGAGCTTTATCAGAAGTCCGGCAACAAGTTCTCGTTGACCGATGAACTCAAGGGCCATGAGAAGACTGTGACTGGAGTGGATATCGCTCCCAACAGTGGACGTATTGTTACCTGTTCTCAGGGTAAGTTATCCTCATCCCCTTGTCCTGCAATAGTCCCGTCTAAGTGACCATGGGAACAGACCGCAACGCCTACGTCTGGGAACGGACCCCCACGGGTTGGAAGCCAACGCTGGTTCTCCTTCGGATAAACAGGGCTGCTACATTTGTACGGTGGTCACCTTCTGAACATAAGTTCGCTGTTGGATCTGGTGCTCGCGTGATCGCGGTGTGCTATTTTGAAGAGGAGAATGACTGGTGGATCTCGAAGCACTTGAAGAAGCCCATCCGCAGCACTATTACCACCCTTGCTTGGCATCCAAACTCCGTTCTCCTGGCTGCGGGGTCGACTGACTCTCATGCCCGGGTGCTTTCCAGCTTCATCAAGGGTGTCGACACCCGCCCGGAGCCCAGCGCCTGGGGTGAACGGCTCCCCTTTAACACAATTTGTGGTGAATTCCTGAATGACTCGGCTGGTTGGATTCAAGGTGTATCCTTCTCTCCTAGTGGAGATGCACTTGCCTTTACTGGCCATGATAGCAGTGTCACCGTCGTATACCCTAGTGCGCCGGAACAGCCGCCTCGGGCGATGTTGACCATCGCTACTCGTCTTCTGCCTTTCAACAGTCTGATTTGGAACGGCGAGAACGAGATCATCGCCGCAGGCCACGTATGTCTCCAAAAAATTCAACTTCAGCAGATGATCCATTACAAAACATATCCCTAACAGGCATTAACAGGATTGCGAACCGTACCGCCTT